ACCAACTTGGGACATTAAAGTCACCCAACACTTTCAATAACACAGAGGACAGGTCAGCTTGTCTACATCCCTCCACTGATGTTCATCTTTGGTGAAGGCATAAGCCACTACCACCATTACCACCATCACCACCATTCCCCACCTCCCTTTAATTGAAAAGATAACCCATAGTATCCTTGGACTCACAGTTTCCCAGACAAGTTGCACTCACAGTAAGCCCCGGGCACTTGGTTTTCTCACACAGTGTAGCCCGTTGGAGCGACCGGCTGAACATATATTTTCGTTAATCGTACTCCCGGCATCTTCTGTTCTCTACTGAGGGACTGTCATTTTTTTATTGTCCCTCCATGGGATCAATTCGCTAATGGGCAACAACACCACTGGTCTCACCACATCCACCTTCCCCCAGCCTTATTGGCAATTACACTAAGAAACAAAGGAGCAATAATGGCAATGGGCGCACACTCTACCAGTCCAACCGTATGCACCTGCCCCTCAGCCTTACTTGCAATTCCACGCACTTAATGGGGTAATTGTGCTTTTCGGCTGAACATAGTTTGGGAGTGCAACCTCTTCTCGACAATTATACTTAACCCCCCCCCCACTCCAATGGCCCATTTCATGTAGGCCATTGTTCTAACGGAGAGGTGCAACATAAGATAACTCCGTTAATCCAGCTTGTATTCAGTTTCCTTAAAAGGCACCCGGTACAGTTAATGACACAGGTCTACAACACCCTGGATGATACTGGGTTGCTTCCAATATCCAGCTCGAGCACCACGGACGCTGAAACCGTTTCTTTTGTTATTTCACTCTTAGGGCATTGATATGACGAATGTATTGAGTTTTTGCGACGTGTGCTTATGCACCACCGCCAATGCGATATTGCAGATGTACGTTTTTTTATCTTTTCACTACCATACAGAAAGCAGCATCGTAACTCCAATCCGTGAAGCAGCGTATGGTTGAGCCACTTTAAAGTGGAGCATGTGCGGGTGCATGCGGTGGACACGGAGCCGAGTAACCGCAATGAGACACGGGGAGCCCTGGGTCTCTCACTCAAGAGGCAACAAAGCCGCTTGTGTCGCTTGCCACAAAGCCCTGGGCTAAACAATACAAATATAATACATTAGGTGAAAAAAAAACTTCTTTTAAATGCACACTTTTATTTGCATTCGAGTCGAAAATAAATTATTTGACGCCCAGAATTAATCAAATTTGATGTGCTGAATAAAATTGGGTGGTTTCCTTTCGATGCGATTAACTTTATTTATGCAAGCCATCCACTTTTATTCAGCACATCAAATTGCATTAATTTTGGGGTCAAAATATTTTTCTACTTGAGTGCAAATAAAAGTGTGTGCATTGAAAAACTATTTGGTTTTTTTACCCAGTTTATTACACAATATTTTAATCTTGCAAAAAATATTTGTATATGTACATATTAATTCAACGATCTCAATCCAAACAATAAAAGTTCATTAGTCTGGATAATTAACATATTTTTGAAATTGTGCAATAACATTTTCAGTAAAAAAAAAACAGGGGCCCAGAATAGGCAGGGCCTGGACCGATTCTTAAAGTGGCATCTTACATTCTCATGCGATATGAGACAGTATACAAAATTTCAGCTCGTTAGGCTTTATAGATCCGAAGATATTAAGCGTCCAATATTTTTAAAATATATAAACAGGGCAAGTTGAATAAAAGCGTGTAAAAAAGTGCGATATGGTGGCACCGTTTGTCCATTGGCAGCAAGGGGACACCGAGACTTGAAATTTGGCCAACCGCGATTTTTTTTATCTTCAAGACTGACGGATAGAAAAGCGACCTGCGGAAAGGCATGGCCGAGTTGAAGCTGATTAACGGAAAGGTGGGGTGTGGTTGGTGGTGCGCGCCTGTAACCGAGCGACTTAAATAAGCTGCGATGGTAGATCGTCCCGAGATTGGGTGTGCATGGCATGACACGAAGGTACAGGCCAGGGAGGTGGTGTTTCGTTGTAGGGTGTGAAGGATGTTAAAGGTGCAGCCCGGCAATTTCCTCCCTACGTCGCATTTCCCAAGTCCTTGCTCAATGCAATAGAATCACACAACTTTAATATCGTTTTTTTACGGGCTGCTTGGTGTTTTGGGTCTTTGCTCAGCAAATCAAACCAAACATATCTCACATGTATGACCCACAGCTTGAAAGTGGGATACACACATGTATAGACTGAAAACTTGTAATAGATTTGCACATGCCTGCTCGTTGGCTATGAACCTCAAGGAGTCATGTCCAATTGCTAAATAATGAATTGGTGAATCTGGACACAAACCACACGTGGTCAAATCTGCGAAGGCGTGTCCTGTGGTTATAACATTTCAGACTTTAGTAATGTCGGTAATGGCTGGCAACTTCAGGTATTCACTCCATCTGCCTGCACACCTTCTTATGCGTTCACCAATGTACACGGCAAGACAGTTTCTTCTGAAGATAAAGGCACACCACATTGATCATGGTAAAAACATTCACTCACGTCTCACTTAGCCCCTGCGCAAATGTGCGGCTTGGTGTGTGTACGGTATGTGCAAGTTCTGCACCAGCTGGGATGCACTTTATTTTTTACCAGTCACAACGCTGCTTTCGATGTCTGCTGGAAGAAAAACAAATGCTCTCAGAAACCAAGCTCTGGCAGCATATGCAAAATCTACCCACCGTTGAATTCCATTACACCAGAGACTGCCGTGTGCGGTGAAATATTCATATTGTGAGAAAATAAATGCATTATAGATCACATGGGGTGGGCAGCTAAAAGTAGTTTTGGATCATTGGGACTATCGTATGCACTTTCAAGATGCAGCTTAACGGAGCGAGGTTGAGTGGGTGAGTGGTCTTTAATATTCTTGGTTCTTTCGGTAAAGTCACTAAGAAGGGAAACAATAAAATATTTTTTTTAGTTTTGTTTCCCTTCTACGTGGTGACTTTACCGAAAGAACAAAGAATATGAATCCCTGCAGTCACGAAAGCTTTAAATCAAAATGGTCTTTAATAGTTGTTTTATATAAAAGACAAGCTAAGCTTTCCTTGTACAGTAATTTAAACAAGTTCAGGATGGACAGCAGTAATGTTCGTAACTGCACTAACATTTGCTCATAATTTTAGGTCATACGCTACTCTTAACGGTAATATTTAGTGCATTCTTGAAAACTGGGATATCATCAAAGCCCATTCTTTTACCAGGTGAGAACCGAGAGGAGCATTTCCTCGGGTTGTGTAATATTTTTACATGAAGCCGATCTTATTTGCGATTAATTTTTTTGCAGTTAATGGCACACAAAGGTCAAAAGATACCAGTCTCCGTATGTTGATCATTCTCTTGCAGATATAACCAGAGGTTTACAAAAATCAAACCATAAAGCTTCTGCCCTGACCCAGTCGCAGATGAACCACAAAACGAATCCAGCCACCCAGGCAGATAAAAAAATATTCCGAGTTACTGTAAAAATTCAAGACACTACAGCAGCCAAACATTACACTCGACTTAAGAGCACAATACGTGCATCAATACACATGTTTGGAGAATGACTATTAGCCATGATTTGTGAGCAGCCCCAATTCTGCCAACTCCAGCTCAACCAAAGATCCCATCAGTTTCCCTGACACTTAGCATGGAAAATGGCCACGAGATGTTCAGCACGTTGTCAAGTTTGTTCGTTTCTCAATCCGCTTGTCCTTTTGAGGGTCGCGGCGGCAGCGTGTCGAGTAGGGCGGTCCAGACCTCCCGTTTTCTGGCGACAGACTCCAGCACTACATAACTATACACTACACTATAAATTACTATAGACTATACATTAAACTACACTGTACACTACTATACACTACTACACTATGCACAGACTCTAGCTCTTCCCGGGGGAATTCCCAGGCCAGCCGAGCGACCATTGTCCCGCCAGCGTGTCCTGGGCCGGCCCCAGGGTCTTCGCCCAGTTCGAAGACCCAGGGGTCTTCACACGTTGCCAAGTACACCCATTGATTGCAAACATATACTGGTGACAAGTTCCTTTAAATTGAAACATAACCCAACACAAATGCACTTGTATAGTTTTTACTACAGGTTTACTTCAGCCCCTACAAGCATTCAAAATACACAAAACACAATGCAACCATTTGCATAATACCAAGCCTACGTGTTAAACTAAAACATACTACAAGTTCCACTAACATTTAAGCAAATACGTCTTTATGATAGGGCACATATGGTTTAAGTCGGTTGGTGAACACCACATTTAGTTTTAGTGTTAGCAAACACATGCATACAACCTTACGTGTTCAACACACAAACATGCAAATTTCATGGGACCTCCTTTGCCAGTACCAAAATATGAGAATAGGTTTTCCCCTTTTTTCTGGCAACAAACAAGTGTTGAGATGTTAAAACACCTAAACTGAAACCTTTTACAAGAAATCATGTCTGCATTAACCACAATACTTGTGGTCAGAATGCAAAAAAAACACTGATAATATATGCATTTGAAACTGATTGGTCCACACCTGGTGCGGACCAATCAGTTTCAAAGACAATGCATATATTATCAGTTTAGTGTTTTAATATCTTAACACCTGTTTTGTTGCCAGAAAGGGGAAAACCTATTCTCAAACATGCAAATTGTTGCAGCTATGGTCTTTCTATTCCAGAGCTGCAAAATACAGTTGATTTACTTGATGTTGCAGGCTTAGAGTGGTGTCAAGTTTGCCAACACCACAATGTAGTCTTACAAGTAATTTGAAATGCACAGGAAGCAGGCGGTGATTCATTTTCAACGTCCTGGCAACACCTGGTGCTTGAAACTGATCTTTTGGCAACAGACACAGAAGTAACGTTACAGTCTATTAGTATTACCTTTAAATATGGGAGTATACTCAATCATGGCTATGTCTAAACACACAATGTTTAAGAAATCCACCTACTTATTACGAAGTTTAAATGTTTAAAACAAAAACCACATTCATTGAGTTAAACTTGAATTGACTGACATTTCCAAATGAAGGTAAAAAGGTCATTATGCACAATTCAATTGATGCCACCACACACTGCAATTACCTCCCTCAACGCTAGATCATTCAGCTGTTACGACATATTACACCACCTGGACATAGGTTTCCCGATCACCCAATTAAAAAAAACCTCTGCAAGCCATTAAAACAGCAGCCAAGGGGAACAGAAACACAAAACACGCAGAAAATGCCATCTTAAGACCTTCTTTTTTAAAATATGAAGTACATTTTTTTTTTACAAAACCAATAATACTTATTCGGTCACGCACCAGAGCTAAACTCGATTCCAATTTATGACGAGGGAAATGGCTAGCGTTACTGTTTATTACTCTCTTTTTCACGCTTGTGTAATTTCTTAAGCATCACGGGCGCCCTCCAGTGACCAAATAAAGCCACACAATGATGGCGAGAATGTCGGAAGGGCAAGTCTGAAATGGATGCGAGAAACAGATTTCTTAACATAGCGCCAATTTCCTGAAAGAGCACCAATTGAATTCTATATTGTCCTCATTCACCTAGCAAAAACAATCAATGCAACAAGTCATTTGATTAATGTAGCGAGACAAAATGGCGTTGAAAAGGAGAATGAAGCCACCTATCACCACATTAATTTGGCTGAAAATGTAGGATTATTAAATGACCTTTTAGCAGTAATAATTCACATTTATAATGCGCATTCCATAACCAAGGATCACAAAGCGCATACTGCCTTAGCACTATCTAGTGATGAAATATAGGCGATTTCTAAAACAATGTCAATGCATACTGCACCACTTCAAAATCAACAAAGCACAATACGATTTCATCTGCCATTTGCTACTTTCCTCCTGGCAAAGCTTCAATATAAAAAAGCACATTACACATTTTGTTAGGGCTCTGCAATTATAAATTGTAAAAGGTTATAAAAGCCTTTCTGAGAAATCGTGGGTGTAATTATAATTATCCAACTAGCTGCACAGTTGATAAATGCCACGTTAAAACATAACAATCAAATAGTCGGCAGTTATGTTTTATGACCGTGTTTTCTGGATTTTTTCCCTCACTTTCAAAAACCACAAATCTGGCTTCTGCACACCAATAATGATGACCATAAAAGCTATGAGAGGTAACAGTGCTGTAGAACAAGCAGGTTATAGGACTTCTTTTTGATAAAGTTCCGCTCACTTAATTCTTGCAATCTGTAAAATAAACAGAGAAAGACTCACATTTAGCTCTTAATTAGCACTAAACATGTTGTTCATAGAATGCAATTGACACATTTACAATGACAAACAACAGCTTGTATTTATAAAGCATCTAAATCTCACACCGTATAATTACAAGCGTGGGTTTTTTTTTTCTTCTGGGTGCTCCGCTTTTCCTCCCATGAAAATTAACACGCGTTAATTGGCTGAAAACATCTTAATACAAACAAGGACTACAGAGCTCGTACAACTGTTGACGCTGGCTCACCGCCTGGCTGCCTTCGAACTTGCCTGTGGTTCCTCAACAATTATGAGAAGGAATTTGCATGAACGTTGCTATATACAACAAACAATTGTTATTAAAATATGTGCGGCTAGACAATTTTTTTTGGGGGGGGGGGGGGAAGGGAAAGAAGGGTAGAATGCTACAGGCCAGAAAGGTAATTCAGACAGTATGGAAGAGAGCATATGAAAACCTTTCAAAGACAGAAAGTCATATGCATGCAAAAGGGTATTTAATAGTACCCATTACATCCATTATCTAAATGTATTGTGAAATGTAAAAACATAAGACAATTTAGGCTTTCACAACGTATAAACAATAGTTGCGTATTATCAGAGGTTTTTCAGACATTTGTAAAGTTAGCAAAAAAAGTGTAAAAATATATTCAACTCTTGCACAAAATCCCTTTCTTCATACACAACACTTGCACACTGTTACGTGGTGGTATGCACTCATTGAAGGAAATGCTACTACGAGACAAAGTTGCGGCGAATTATCTCTTGCCACAATAATAACACATTGCTTGACTTTACATCCACAGTGCACAAAGAAACCCATTTCTGCAGATAGCACTGGCAGACATATTGGCAAGATGCCGGAACAAAATTCGGCGCACTCCGAACCTGCGAGATTTTTACGCCGGTCAGTCTCTCCACGCTCTCGGGCAGCTTGCTCATGATGTCCAGCACCTCGCTCGTCAGCTTTGAGGCTCCCACCTCCCCACCACCGCTGGAAATCATCGTCACCTTCCTTGCCTTGCTCAGTGGCTGGCTCACCTCTGTGGCAATCTGCAGGCCATCGCAGAGTGGGAGAAAAAAAAAAGATAAACATAATTGGCAACGCTGAAATGCCGATAAGAATAATAAACATTCCCTACTGCTGCTGCTATTCCTGGCAAAGAAACTCCGTAATTTTTGGCAGCGAGGTAGAATTTCTATACTGTACAGGTAATACTCAAATGGTACAAGTGTAAATAATTCCTTTATGTTACTGGTAAGGAAGTTGTAAAATATATTCATTGTAACTATTATAAATGTGCACCCTCAGTTAAGCTGTAAATTATTATGGGATTTTTCATGAAGCTATTCAGCCTAAAATTTTTAATACAACCATGAATTTGATCTAGTATGTTATATTTAAGGTGTCACCAATGGGGAATAATTTACTACATGAGATCTCCGTGTGATCCTCAGTCAGTGTGTGTATGTACGTGTGCATGTGTGCAAGCAGTAGTGTAATAGTCAGCATGAACGAACCTGGCAACCTTAGTTCCAATTCTTGCTCAGGGCCAACGTCGGTGGAAAGCGATATCCAAAACGGTCCTGTGCCTTGCTTTGGTCAACTCAGCCTTAAATAAGTAGCTGGTACTGCGTGTAAACGTTAGCACTGGCTCTGGGCATGGTGCTGGCCATAACATCTCAATTGCTATGCAAGCCTTAATAGGTTCTTGGCCATAACATCTCAATTGCTATGCAAGCCTTAATAGGTTCTCATTGACTGCACTTGCCTCCCCCCGCCCCCAATAGCCAATGAAGGCTACACGGGGGAACTTTGTTTGTGGGAGAGAACCTTAGGCAATGTCTCCAGCAGCAGGTCCACCATGGCAGCCTCTTCATAGTCCTTGAAGGCCTGGGCCTTCTGCAACATCTGCTCTGCCTCAGCCTTGGCCTTGGCCTCAATGGCATACGCCTCTGCCTCCCCCTTGATCTGTTGCGCACACAACGTGACAGGGAGCAGAACACAATATAAAGACATCCACCACCACCACCACCAAACAAGTACTGCTGGCATGCTTAGTGTGCTTGAGACAATGGAAGGGGCACACAATTTGCCGTCCAAATATTTGCCAACACACACCCACACCAAATACGCTGGGCACTAATTATTGCGAACGGAGCCGAAACAAATATAGGAATCTCAGAAATTATAGAAACGACGTGCAGTTATCTTCGCATTTTTCAACTGTTTTATTAAAAGCACTGCAACAAATGGTGAAGGAAATATGAAACCTCTTACCTTTATGGACTCAGCCTCTGCTTCCGCTTCCATTATCACACGAGCTCTGCCAATAAATCATTCCCAAGTGTCATTAACACAAGCATGGTAGCAGGGACACACCTTCAGAATGGCTGACCCTTGTCACTTTTAACGCTCAATCAGCCCGTGGTCATGGACCGACGTCAAGATTTGACAAAAACTTGCCACATGATGCCAAGTGCTAAACAAAAAGAAGTATTCGTGAACACAAATATTATCTAAATTAATCAAACACCCTTCAACAAAAAATACAAACTTAACCACTTACGGGACTGCCTACATATTCCACTAACACAATCGTTTGATCTACAATCAAGTAATATACAAAAAATTCATACAAGTAAAAATTACCGTCGTAGTGCGTATAACCCACGTGAGTTTTAACATGCCAGATAATCTGCATTCCTTACACGTGTAGTGACAGAATCGGTCACGTAGCAGCATAGCGCTGGCTGCTGGCAGGGAAGGGGATCTGCAGCTTACAGCAGCCCTGACTGACAGCAGGCCACGTGATAGACCAGAGAGGGGTCTCGGGGAAAGGTTACGGAAGGGGCACACCGAGAACCCGCTAGTAGGTTCCAGAAGGGGGTGTGGCCGGGGGCGGAGCCAGGCCACGCTGACAGTATAAGATAGCCCTGGGAGGGGACCTCGATGCTGTCGTGTGGAGTGTGATCCCGTCATGCTGCTGCTGGAGTCTTCACCGTCGTCTCAGTCACCATCTCGGCCGCGCGTCTGGCAGTCTACCAGCTGTCCTGACTGGGAGCCGTAGTTACCAAGTGTTAACTGTTAAGGCCGTTTAATAAACAGAGTGCCTCCTACTCTTAGTGTCTCTGAGTCAGTCACTACACATGCATGCATATGGCCTTTTTAGTATGTATTTTGGGGCACATTGGCATGTTAATTTCATTATCAAGCACAGCTTTACAAACATATTTCAACCTTAAATTTTGATTTAAAGCTTTCGTGACTGCAGTAATTCATATTCTTAGTTTTTTCGGTAAAGTCACGTTGAAGAGAAACAACAAAATAACAAAATATATATAAAACAATAAAAAATTCTCACGACGTTTCGACCATAACTCAAACGGTCATCATCAGGTGTGTCGGTTTGCATAAATTTATTTTGAAAACGGCATATTTATTTATATATATAAAAATAACGTTTGCGTCACGCGCAACGATTGGCTGTTTGCCAGGACTAGTCCATCTATTTTTTGAAAAGAGGAGGGGGGAGACGAAATTTGTTTTTATGTATGCTGTCTGAAAGGCACTGTAAGCGTGAACAATCAATCAAGAACTGAAATGATTTATCAAATCTTTCCAATGATTGCTAAGATAGAATCCATCTTCTCGGTTGAAATTGTCTCTGTGTTTGTATATGTGGATAGCCTCATGAACGAATCTCTCATGGAAGCCAGGTTCTTTGTAAGCCATCTGGCTTCCATGAGAGATTCGTTCATGAGGCTATCCACATATACAAACACAGAGACAATTTCAACCGAGAAGATGGATTCTATCTTAGCAATCATTGGAAAGATTTGATAAATCATTTCAGTTCTTGATTGATTGTTCACGCTTACAGTGCCTTTCAGACAGCATACATAAAAACAAATTTCGTCTCCCCCCTCCTCTTTTCAAAAAATAGATGGACTAGTCCTGGCAAACAGCCAATCGTTGCGCGTGACGCAAACGTTATTTTTATATATATAAATAAATATGCCGTTTTCAAAATACATTTATGCAAACCGACACACCTGATGATGACCGTTTGAGTTATGGTCGAAACGTCGTGAGAATTTTTTATTGTTTTATATATATTTTGTTATTTTGTTGTTTCTCTTCAACGTGACTTTACCGAAAAAACTAAGAATATATTTCAACCTTGCCCACATCCCCTATTAATTGGATATGATTTGTTTTTATGAAGATAAATCACCTTCCATGGCATTTTAATCTTTAACATACACTGATAAAGAAAATGGACAAATGACGAAAAGTGTGCAAAGAAGCGGTGCCATGCTTGAAATTACACTCGGGATGAAGGACACACGTGGATGATGAACCACGAAACATATCGACTCTTAAGAAAGGTAGGTAAGTGGACTTAGACAGGAGACCTGGCTTAAATAGATGTCAGGCAATCAATAACTAAAATGGAGTGGTAACCAGAAAATGGAGAGTGTCCAAAAGGATGTTGCACTGCAGAGATAGAGCAGTGAAATTAGCTCATGTGAAAGGAGCTGGATGGATTTAGCATCGCAAGACTGTGGCAAAGGCTTGGGGAAATCTTCATCCAGCAGTTGATAGATTACATGAAATTTCGGAGCTGGTACTGTGAGAGAGAAACTGCTTTGACTTACAATCACAATGGGCCGGTAGGGGTCATCAAACTGCATGCCCAGCCTCCTTTGTCTCCGCATTCGTGCTGCCGATACTATGCCAGGAATCCCAGTCAACTTAAACGAGGCCCCATGTTATCTGAATACATTTGCAAATGAAGTGTGTCGCGAGGAATGAAATGCAGACTGGTGCAACTATAAGTGTTGCGTGATAAAACACCACGCAACCACTCTTCAAACACATACACACACACACACACCTTCCCGCCTCAGCCAATTTCTCCAAACGATACTTCTCCGCCTCAGCCGGTTTCTTGATCTTGGCATCCAATTCCTTCTCGCGTCTCAGGATCTCCTGCTCCTGCACCAGGATCTGCTGGGTGCGCTCCACCACCAGGATCTGCATTTTCTCCTCTTCGATCTTCTGCTTGGTCTTTGCCACCTGTGATGGCACACGATGCAGTTCCAGAATTCATATCTAGCCAGCACGTAAATCATGCCTTTCTGCGCCTTCCTTTCCAATGTAAGAATAATTGATAACTTAAAAACTACACTAACCAAATTTTTTATTTACCAGAAAAGGCCCAGAGCTATATAGCTGTTTTCCAAAAGCATCCTGGCCACAAATGATAGCTCAGCAAAGAGGCTAATCATGTAGAAATGTATCACAGACAAATACTCTAAACGCATCTTTCTAAATGTGTAGGGAAAAACCGGAGGAACCAGATAAAAATCCACGCGACCATGGGGAGCACATTCAAACTCCAAATACGCGCATCAGGGTTGGGATCAAACCCAGTTCTTCCTGTATACAAGGCCAGGGAGTAAACATCTCGCCACCGTGGCACATGCATACCATCTTCAAGAACATAACTTTGTCACAAATGTCTTTAAAGCATGACATTGTTGTCAATATTGTTTAGTTTCAGTGCTGAAATTGTATGATCCAGCCTGGTGGCTCGGCGGTAGAACGAGCAGCAGAAGCGTCCTGCGAGTTCAAATCCTGGTTAGGTGCCGACTCAACACATTATCCTTTTCAGGTCGATAAAATGAATTGTCAACAGAATTTGTCCTGTGGAATAAATCACCGCTGACATAAGATTGTGGTATTTCCACCATTGGCTCAGTGCTATAAACAGGAGAAGAGCACTGTCTCAATGCTTATTGGGCAGGACTTTTAAAAGAGTATTGTCTGTTTGTGGTTCTCTGTTCGTACCCACCTGCAGCTGATAAGCAAGGTCCGCCTGTGCCTTTTGGGTATTGACTTCCATGTCATAGGCAGCCGTCTTCAGCTCGAATTCGAGCTGAGCTTTGGCGATTTCAATCTCGTTCAGGTACTGTGCAGCCACTTTCTGCTCCACTGCCATGGCTTCCTGCAAGGGCCCATGGACGTGCGTGACTTGCGGCATATGCATGGGTGCATGGTCAGTTATCAGTTATGGGCAACCATAAAAATCCCCATCATGTTTTGCAGGAAGATGACGCATACACGCATTCAGACTCCCCCCCTCCCCAAAACCAACTTGTGCCTTGAAACGAATATCCCAACAAGTGCACACTTCCAAAGTTTTAGCTTATTGCTGCTCAGCAAGTAAACGATGACAAATGCCCATTTTGCAAGTCTTAAAAATGGACCAAGAATAACATTTTGTAATGAAAAAAAAAGTGTACATTACATGATTAACAATGGTTACCGGTTGGCTACGTACGGCGCGAAAGAAGTTCAACATATGTACGTACATACGTACATACTGCAGCTTTCAATTCCCATTCCGCGGTTGTTTTCTAAGCTGCACGTCTCTCTGGAAAACGCGCTTCGACCCACCTTGATGCCGGCATCTCGCTTCATTTCTGCCTCTCCGATGCGTGCGTCTCGCTGCACCTGGGCTGTACGTGCTTTGCCCAGTGACTTGAGGTAGTCCTGCGTGCCATCACACAGACAAGCACGTGAGTGCGTCTGTCACTCGCGCAGCTTAACCCACGTGTGTGGCATGCATCGGTGTTAACTATTTAATACATATAAAACAACTTTAGAATAATTAAACTCCAGCCAAAATTATATTAGATTATAATAGAGGATAGGTAGGCCCAAATACACTCTTTAGAGCAGTGGTTCTCAACCAGGGGGTACGCGGACACCTGGGGGTACGTGGCATTGTCCCAGGGGCAAAGTGAGGTGACTTATGTGTGAAATTATATTATACATGAGTCATTGTTGAATAATCATGTATGAATCTGCGAATATAGAATTACTACAACATTCTACTAGATATGGTAACATAGACCGATGTAAAAAAATACCTTTCTAAACTCAATGATCATAAACAATGTGGTTTCCAAGAGTAAACAGCGAGGGTAAACAAATTATGTCACGTGTGCAGAGCGTCCATTTAAAAAAAAATTGTATTCGCTTGCAGTAACTAGCTAGTTAGGATACCTCACAAAATTGAGAATCGGTTCAAATATAGATTTTTCGATTTAAAGCTTTCGTGACTGCAGGGATTCATATTCTTGGTTCTTTCGGTAAAGTCACGTAGAAGGGAAATAATAAAATAATAAAAAATAAACAATTCATTTCTCACGACGTTTCGATTGCAGCACAAGCAATCATCATCAGGTGTGAAAACCACAGCAAGATTTTTTTTTTAAACTTACCAAGAATATCAAATATTGATGTTTATCAATTCATACATTTATTTCTCAGAACCTTGTTTGGGTCCGGCAAGGGGGTACTCGGTTAAAACAAAATTCAACAAGGGGTACAGGAGTCAAAAAAGGTTGAGAACCACTGCTCTTGAGCTCCTGCTATTGGAGGCTGTTCCACCAGCATGAGCAAGAAATTGCTAAGCTGCATCTTTCAGTCCAAGTATCTTATTACATTTAAGGCAAAAAATACAATTAAACTGAAATAAAATTCAACTGATATTACAACACTGTAAAACAGATCAGCTAATATTAAAATTACGTTTTACTGGAGTGAAATAAGCAAGGGATTAAAATAATAAAATAAACTCGATTGCAGTTGAGTCACGCAATAAACATGTAAGAGTAGATTAACATCAATTCTTTACACTCACGATACATTCGTGGAATAATTTGTGCGATAGCGTGTTATTCATGGTTTATGCAAAGTATATGCATTTTCTTCCATTTGGGTTAATAGAGTAAAACTGAAACAACAAAAAGTAATTATTTGAATAAATACGACAAAAATAAATGTAACTAAAATCTATTATTCTTCAATAAATGTGACAATTTACCAAATTGCTGTGGTAGGTGAAACTTCATATGCCTAGTATGCATCGTAGTCAAAAGCTACAAAATTTACATAAGCGTTACAAACCAAAATTACTCAATGGACAGGAACCAGATAGAGTGCATGTTCAAGAATCCAGAAAGGAAATGCCGCACCCTTACCTCATCATCACGGACATCCTTGAGAGTGTAGCTCACCACGCTGATGCCCATGTTGAGGAGATCAGAAGAAGCCACGCGGAATACCTCCTGGGAAAACTTCTTACGATCCTTGTAGATTTCCTAAAAGCAGGAGCCGGTTTAATAATGCATCATGATGTGCACTCCAAATCAATTAAGACAGACAGACAGGAGAAACACTTGCACAGAAGAAGGGCAAATGAGAGGCCACACCATAAATGCGAGTTCCGTGCCCGCAATGCCGCGAAAAGCACGTGGAACAAGGAGAAGCCAGGCTAAAGGACAACCCAGACAGAATCAGCAAGGGAGTGACAGTCAACCTCGCAGATAACAACAGCGGCGGAACAGTGATGCAATTGGGACACGTCTCAAGACTATGGCAGATTACAGCTGCACAGGACCAGGAACAGAAAGATGGAGCAGAAACGCAGGGCAGCGTTTCACGCTGCCGTACATGGAAAACGTTCCCATTGTAAAAAAAAAAAATTCCCCTCATCTGTCATTTTACCTAGATGGCAAACAGACATCTTTCAATATAGTTCAGGTTCATGGTTGTTAATTTCAAATGGGAAAATGGCAGCTCAGGCAAATTGATGCGTCACTTGTGGTGAGAAGAACCTAGTCCTTTATTAAAATTTGCACTTTTATATTTTATTCATGCATAATTTGAATAACATAACCGATAATGGTGATTAATAAATAGTCAGGGATTTATTTTTTGCATTAACTGCAGCTTTTAAAACACAGAAACGAGTGACCTAGCCTGATGACGATGAAGCCAGTCTCTTTAAGTAAACCCACCTCCACGGTCATGTTGCCCATGATTGCACGCTGGTGTCCTTCCAGTGTCTCCAAAGCGATCTGGCTTATCTCCTCGTCCCCTTTCCCCAGAAACATCTGGCAAGCAGCTGCTAACATATCCTTGTTTTGTCCTTGTATCTTCACCTGGGAGCCAAGATACAACAGTTGTGACACAATTGAACCCATTAAAGATACGTTATCACAGCTCAGGAATGGGCATCGTAAAGTGAAAAGCAGAAAAGAGCAATGTGTTTTTTTCTGTTTTTTGTTAGACAGATTTTTTTCAGTCCAAGTGATGTCACCTGTTATGCATACCAATGCAAAATAATTTTTAGCTCATTAATGCCAAACGCTTACAAGATCCGAAGGTGTATGTTTGTATGAACAAAGAATGTTTTGTTTCAAATAAGTTCCTGTTCAGTGATGCTTCTGCAACTGTTTAATCCACGACTATTGTATGTTATAGGAGAAAGGAGATAAGGATAGCCTATAGCTTGTGTATATAGACTGCATTGTTCCATTCCTGCAATGGCTCACAATTTAATTCAAGCAATTACCCATTGCAAAAATTAAGGCCTGATGTGGTAAAAGTAACCGTTTGTCAGGAGATGACTAGACAAAAACCCAATCTTGAAATTAACTCTGTAAAATAACCGTTTCAAAGCAGTGATGGTTGCCTAGACCTCCCATGTCAAGTTGCTGAATTCTAATAAGCTTTGCCTGGTTAAAATTTGACAAATTAGTTACAAAACAAGTAACCAAGATATTAAAAACCCATCATTGCATATCACGAATGGCAAGAACATGAATAATATTTAATGCGTCACTAAAACGAAGCATTTTCTTCAAAAACATTCAATGGGTGCACTTGCTTGATTACTCATAAATAGGGGGACTATGGTGATACTTAAAAGAAGCAGTGTCTGCATCGAATGTAAGCCCTAATGAAAGTCATGGCTAAATTAACTTCACACAAAAAACCTCTTAAATGTCTCTCTCCAAAACAAACTGTGCCTCTCGGAGATGTTATAATCGCATCGCTGGTGAAACGCTAAATACTTTGAAAGCCACATTGTGACTTTGCTCTTTGGGTAAAGCATTTGCTCAAACAGGCACCACATACATACAAAGCCAAGGATCCCTTCTTTAAAAAGTAGGTGTAAGTGGTTTTAGAATGCACCTAGTAAGAATGGCACAACACATGGGAGTGGTGCACGGTCAGCACCATGCTAAATTAACACCATATAGGCGAATACAAATATCCCTATGGTCTTAATAGACGCATGGGAGTAAGTAATGCTAGCGAGCTACACGTAACCATTTTCCGTTCCAAGATGTCTGCAAGTTGCAGGGTGGGTCCCGTTCACCTCTGAATCTGAGGAAGGCACAAGCGGCTCAGCTTAAATTTTATTTAGAGGGGCATAGCACCGTTGCTTTTAAAAACATTGTAATCACCACAGAGAACTGTAGCAACACGACGGTACTCTCTGATAGCGGGCGACAAAACTTTACCAAACGCCCTCCCGCATGGCCATTTACTTCCGATTCCATTCAGAATCGATTCGAGTCGGCTCAGAATCGATTCCGTTCTGATGACATCATCGTACATAATCGGAACGGAATCGGTAGAAAAAAACGGAACAAGGAAAGGGTTAAGGCAAGCCACTTGTTTTAACGAGAGTGGTGTGGCCAGAACGATGCCTGACCACCTTTGTCTCCCTAATGATTACACACCACACCAGGTACTCATTTAAGGCTGAGTCTACCTATGCATGGCACTGATGTTAGCCGTGTCCGAAAATGAAACTCAGGTGAATGGGATCATAGCATAGTCCACGTTTCCCTCGCTTTATGCGGGTTTGTTTTGTGCGATTGTGTACATGTGGCTAACCTATTTGTACCCAAATTTAGCAATATGCGGTTTGAATTTACTTATATGCGGCTATGCGGTCGGACAAGAACATTATTGCATGTACTTTATGCGCTACTCGGCAGGCAGCCGTCTCATGAAGTGCATTCTGGGTTGGGTGACTGTGCGGTCTATGCTACACAAATTTGTTTTGTGTGCCTTTTTAGGAACTCATCTACCACGTAAAGTGGGGGATACACTCTCAACTGAAGCACAGCTCAGCACATATACAAACAAAGATCCCCCGTATAAACTTTAACAGACTGTTCGGACAAGTGCTGTTGTTAGTGAGCACCTATGAAGGCCGGGCTCAGCTCACGAGGAGGTGGGTGGTCAGCACCATGCCCAGCTGCCGCCTTTGTCTCCCTCATGGCAATGTTTACACACAGCACCAGGTACTCATTCGAGGCCGAGTCAAACTAGGGGAGGCTCAGGACCGGTTCAGATAATCGTCACTGGTGTTGGCCATGACCGGGAATTGAACTCAAGTCATCGGGTTCGTAGCGCAACGCGCTAACCGCGACCCTACCACTCCACCACACATACACAAGCAGCCATAGACACACATGCAACTGCTCCATTATCACATAAAAACCCTCATTGCACATTTAAATACTCAATTACCTGCGCTATTCCCGTTACCGAGATGGGAACGCCCTGTCGCGTGTAAACTTTCTCGCTCCTCACATTCAGAGTCATGGTGTTGAGAGAAATCCTGCAGAGGTGGCAAAGGCAACACAGTTTAAATGAATTCATTTCAGGGATGTTGAATTGCCTTTTACCTCTTCCTGTGCAAAATTATTTTATTATTCCGAACATTAGACAAAGCTTATCGTTCAGATATAGTAAAGGTCTTCTGTCTTATAATGTGGCAGCAATATTCCCAAGTAAATTATGGAGATTAGCATGATGACATTTTCAGGGCTCAACTTGTCATGGAATATTTTTTGAAGCCCCAAGACCCTGCCCCCTCCTGACAGTGATTCACCTTTCGTCAACATCCCCTTGCCCACCAGTATCTACATTAATCCTCTATTAATTACGCACCATTACATGCAAAATTGTAGAGTACTCAATATAATAGTATTTTTTTTCTCCACTTCATCAAAGCACTCTGCTTTTAATTATTCTTCTCTAATACATTCTCTGATCTGCACCTTGACAACAGTTTTTAGAATTCATGTGTAGGAATATTTTTCAGAGCTCAGCCCTAGACATTCTACTTTAAAAACAGATTTTACTTGCCAACCAGGTCGAGCACAATATCTACCATAACAATGGTGTGTGGTGCAATTTGTATAGCTTGTGATCCAAAACCAGCATGGGGATAGTTTAATTTGAATATAGTCAAAATGGTGGCTCTTTCAATGCGCCTTTTGGAATCATGTTTAAGCTATTTTGCTTTCAGATTACAAACGCAGCTTTAGACACCTGTACAGCCTCAAATACCACATAATACACTCTCAAATAACATGGATGTAATATTTCTCAACATAAAAGGCAAACGATAAGAGCCTCGAAGAAGAAAATTCAGACAGCGATAAAGCTAAATAGGATTTTATCGTTGTACGAGACTAATATGTTAACAATGCATGACCGCAGCTGAAAATAAATTTGTGAAATCTTACCTTTGCAATTGCTGGATGATTGGCCAAACGAAAACTCGGCCACCTGTAATGGTGATGGGAGGGGAACGGCCACAGCCTGGCGATAGCACAGCAAAAGCTCAGTTAATCAAATATGCCAGTTTAAACTCATGGTTCACCCTACAACTCTTCAAGAAATAAACTAAGCCTGCATTATAACTATGATATTATAAATATTCTACTCTTTTTTCAGAGGTACTCGCCAGTCACTTGTAGAGAATTTTAAGTTGATTGTAGAGAAAGTCAGGCCGTTTAAGAGTACAGTATACGGTAGTGCAGTACTGTATGTATAGTGGCGATAGCGTCACCACTGTACTACATACTAAAGCTTCCGTAAACAACAGATCTATGATAAGCGCACGGCAGATGGCTGTCGGAAATTTTTCCGGAAACATTAAACATTATATTGCCGTCTATGACAGATGCCGGTTAATGGAGCATTCCGGATGGTAAAGTGCCAGATAACAAAGGTACATGTTGAGATACAGTGGACGCGTAGGCATGGGAAACTGTACGGAGGAATATTCGGGAATGCACACGTTGAGTTGATTGAGAGTAGGTGGCCTGCCCATGTGGGGACACTAGCTGATTGAGGGCAGGGCCTACAGAGGGTATATAAAAGGGAGCCTGAACTCAGTTTGGGGCGCAAGACTGAAGAGAGACGACCAAAGCGGGGTGCAACTGGTCTGGGTTCAATGGAGCTGTACCGACTATCTACACCGAAATAAAGACTTACCCTTGTTAAAATGGATGCCGCCAAGGGACTCCTTTACACTGGTGGCAGTGGTGGGATGTCATCTTTGACATCCCGGCAAAGAACCCGAAGAGGAGCTCGACAAGAAGAGGAGGCGCCATCCCTAAGCGCCCCAGGACCCTGAGACTCAGATACCAGCGGGAGCCGGGCCCCGCTGGCCGCCACGTTCCCGGAAGAAGCCGAGATACCTCAATTGGAGAGCTCAGATGAAGGGTGAAGACACAGCTGGCGGAGAAAATAGATCGCCTCACCTCATCGATCGATCGGCTCATAACGAGGATCGTCGACGAGAGAGAACTGGGCCGGGTCGACGAGGGTGCCGTATGGGCAGCCACCGCCCCTCGCAACGCGGCGAGCCGACATGACCGGGACGGAGCAGCTGCCGCCCCTCGCAAAGCGGCAGACTGACAGTCTAGAGAACCGGAACATTCGCTGCTCCTCGAGGGCGGCGAGCTCACATCGACGGGTTGGAGCAGCCACTGCTCTTCATAGAGAGGAAAGCGGGGTTTTGACCAAGCTGTACAGCAGGGGTCCCCGACTGTACCACAGACCGTCGCCGCACCAGCCGAGCCGCCGCCGCACACCCTCTGAACCAACCCGGAGCCCATCGGAGCGAGTACGAAGGCTTGGCCCAATCAAAGAGTTTTCGGCCACCAGAGGCAACTGGGTAGCCTTCATCAAGCGCTTCAAAGCGGCCATCAGGGTTAGCGGGTTGGAATGAAGAAGAGGCCCTCCGAGCACTGTCCACGGTGCTCAATGATGGGGCGCCGACGGCCTTCTGCACCTTCCCGAAGGCTCAGCGCGCCACGCTACAACAGGCCTATGCAGAGAAGGCGGAACTTTTCTGCCCGCCATCCAGCGCCAGGCAACGGTGCTCAAACCGGCGGCGGGAAGAGAACAAGCCACCGATGGCCTTCCGTAGCACCCTCGTGATAAATCGCTAAGGTTACGTTCCCCAGAATGGACAAGGCGGCCAGAGACGCGCTGGTGGCAGAGAAGATATGGGGCCTCATCCAAAGAAGCAGAATCGTACAGCCCATCGTGCCGGAGAGCGACCCGACTTCGCTGTTGTTCACGAGGTGCCTCCGGGCACATGAAGAGGCAAAAGCACTTATCTTTATGACGGCGCAGATAACGGAGACGACGGAGAACGGAGGAACCCGGGAATCTACGGAACAATCGGGAACAACATCTACCACCAGACCCAAAGTGGCCAGCGATCTTCAGGCTACCTTGGGGGAGATGGCGTAGCCATTCGCGAATTCACCAACCCAAGGCGCAATCGACAGGAGCAGCGACCATGGAGGGACCGGGGAGGAGCAAGGAAGCGACCGGAGATCAACTGCTACCCAGGCGTGGTTCGTCCACTCGAGGCGTTGGGGCACCGTCTCACCAAGCAGCTGGAGATACTTTTCTACAAGTTGTTTTGTTGTGTTTAAAATGATTCCTTCAACATGAACTATATAATGAAGATAACATTTTGAGTTGTTTATATTAGAAACCGCTGCAAGTCTGATTTGTGCCTCGGGGAGGTCTCGGGGAGACTGTGAAGGCGTACGAGTAAGAGATATCCCTTAATTATTTGTGATTAGCTTAGCATTTTAGCCACGCCATTTGAGACCATTCAGTGCGGTGTAATTACTATGTCACAACGCTAGGTTGCACTGTACAAATATAGCAGGTCATGGCTTACACACTCTAGGCTTTTGGCAGTCAAAGGAGTTGTGTAGTGTGGACTTGAGGGTCATGGGGACAGCATATGAGTGCTTTGTGGTTTTGTTTTGTATTGTTTATAATTGCCTACCGTTAGTAAATAAGCCAGTTATATCACCTTGATGGGAAGGCCAATAACATGACGAGGTTTTTCTTAATTAGAACATCATCTTTTCAGAGGTCACTCACAACAGCCGCATCTAGTGGAAATGTCCCAAGCCGCCACTGCAGCTACCGCTGCGGGAAACCGGGCCATATCACAAGAGGATGCCAGGGTAAAGTCGACCGGGCACAAGCAAGCTATCTCCAACCACCGATGCGGGACTTCCCAAGAAAGAAGCAGGCCAGTCGCGATACCACGGGCACTCGGCCAGATTATGCACACACCTCATCATAAAAACCCTCATTACCATCATCACCAGCACCCCCCACTTTGTCGCGGCGATCCGGTGCGGCACAACGGGACGTAATTGGCCGACGTCTAAAACGAAATGGAAAAGGTGAGCGAGAAGGATTGTAGCAGCAGCCTTAGGGACGTCCGTGTTAGCAGGAGTGGTAGGGGGAAATCCTGTAAGGGCGTTAGTGGATACGGGGAGCCTCGGTCACCATCATATCCACGCTCGTGTATGAAATGTTACCGTCGGCTAGCCGTTGCTTAAGAGCCGGTGTACAGTAAATTTGTCGCAGCAAAAGGTGGCTGATACAGACTGAATGGATCCGCTTACAAAAGGAGGACGACTCTCTGGGAGTCCCTTGCCGCACAGGCGACCGAAACAGCCAAGAATATATAGCCAGGCGTGTCATTTGTAAAATGGCGAGGATTGTTGATAAAAATGGGACCCCTTAACGGCAGCGTCGCTGCATGGTGATACCCACTCTCCTGTGCACCAGTTGTTGTCAGAGGTGCACGCTGAACAGCTTATGCACAACTGGGTCACCGAAAAACACTGTGTATGTTGCAATCTCGTTATTATTGGCCAGGGATGACAAAGGATGAACGGGATTGGGTGTGAAGAGCAAACCTCCTTCCCAACCTGGACAACCTCCCCTGCAGTCAATTTCAGTATGAAGGGTGAACGAGTTGGTTGCGCGAGACACTCTTGGTCCGTTCCCAAAAACGCCTAGAGATAATAAATATTTACTGGTTGTGATAGAAAATTGTACTCCATGGCCCATGGGATGGTCTCTGCCAGACCAGACGGCTGCATCTATATCAGAAACCTTCCTCCACGGATATGCCTTGTACAAAGGTCCCTCTGACAAACTGCTCACGGACGAGGGTCGAAATTTTTCCGCTAAATTACTGCATGATGTATGCAAAATTATGGGTGCAAAGAAAATGTGAACATCGCCATACCACTCCCAGTCCAACGGACAGGTGGAACTGATCAACTGCACGCTGACTGCGATGATGTGTCATGCCATAGCTGACCAACAAACTGACACTTGCACATCCCAGGAGTCTTAGGGGCTTATCGGAAAGCACCGCACTCGTCGACCGTGCTCTTCCCCTTCTTTTTGATGTACGGGAGACACGCAGAGCCAAAAATTGAAGAACAACTTGTGGGTCTCCTGGCTTAACCTGTCACGTGGCCGGCTTCCCTCAGATTGCCACTGGAGAGGCTGCAGGAAGCTCGGGAGGCCACAATCGAGAAATCGGGTAGATCGTAATCAGCAAAGGAACGCGTGCAAAATAGAAAGGAAACGCCAGTGCCATTTGAAAGGGGGGATTCTAACCTGGTTACACTGTCCCCAGGTCCGTGTGGGCACATCGGCAAAATTGCACCGTCCCTGGCAAGGTCTTGTTGAGATCATCCAAATTCTCTGCCCGCAAAGTGTACGCATCCAGATGGGGCACCGGCGATGGGTGGTCCACCCGAGTCACTTGAAACCATATAGGGAACCATTGGCGCAAACGATCACCCAGATTCATAAGGGCCATTCTCTCCTTTTTGCAGGGGCCTGTGTTCAGCGTTGACCAACAACTATGTAAAATAATCCCATACTCCCAGATGATATCCCCTTGTGAAACTCGTACCTCAAACATCAGGGAGAATATACTTATCCCTTATGAAATCCTATTGACTAAGTTGTTCCGTTAAGGTTATTATATACATCCCCAAGTGTAAGATAGTTGTAAAGCCGGGACAGTTATGTTCGTCGTCGGGGGGGGGGGGGGGGGGGGGGGGGGGGAGTGGGGAAGGTGTAGGGGACTATATCGGAGTTATGGTTGGGGTACACGTTGAGAGTGGACGCGTAGGCGTGGGAAACTGTACGGAGGAATATTCTGGAAAGCACACGCTGAGTTGATTGCGAGCAGGTAGCCTATCCACGTGGGAACACTAGCTGATTGAGGGCGAGGACTACAGAGGGTATGTAAAAGGGAGCCCAAACTCAGTTCGGAGCGCAAGGCTGGGACAAGACTGAAGAGAGACGACCAAGGCAGGGTGCAGCTGGGCTGGGTTCAACGGAACTGTAGCGACGATCTACACCGAAGGGACTCCGTTACAAGTGTATACATAAGGGAGCTAACGGTTCCCAAATGACTACCTTTAAATAAAAAACACACATCAGCCGGTGGCCTCAGTGTAATCACAGCCACTTTAAATACCCATTTCTGTCTGTTTGATGATCAAGTTTTTTATTACTTAATCAAAGATGCGTTTGTGTTCTTTGTTTTAAAGTGGAATGTGCTGCCAAAGTCATGTAGCTAAAACATAAAGAATATTTCATGTACAAAAACGATTTGTATTATTGGTTCTTTCGGTAAAGTCACGTAGATGGAAACAATAAAACAATACAAATATAAAACAATAAAATTCTCAGGACGTTGCGACTGCAACACAAGCAATCATCATCAAGTGTGAAAACCACAGCAAGAAATTGAAAAAAGTGGCGGGCTTTTTTTATCATTAGCACCACGGAGAGCGATTTGACAATTTGTTCAGATGGACGAGTCCATCTATGTTCGGAAGAGGGGGGAGACGAAAAATAATGGATGCGGTCTAAAAGCCACCTTAAGCGTGATCAATCAATTAAGACCCGAAATGGTTTATCAAATCCTTCCAATGATTGCTAAGCCAGAATCCATCTTCTCGGTTGAAATTGTCTGTGTTTGTATATGTGGATAGCCTCATGAACGAATCTCTCATGGTAGCCAGATGGCTTGCAAAGAACCTCTGTCTTAAAAAAGTCAATGTCATGTGAGCCTACTGAATTATAACAGTGATCTGCCACGGCCGAGGTGTTGGTCCTACCGTGTTTCAGGTCTGCTTTGTGTTCACGAATGCGGTCCGAGACGGGTCGTTTGGTTTCTCCAATGTAACTACTACCACAGAGGCAACTTAGTTTGTAGACGCCAGGGTACTGTATGTCCGGAATCACATCTTTTACAGACAGAACCAGATCACGGATTTTATGTAATGTGTTGAATCGGACCTGGATCTTGTGTTTATTCAAGATTTTGGAGATCTTTTTTGTGATCCCCGCAATGTAGGGTAAAGTGATGGTTTTGAAAGGCTCCTCAAGAGGGTCCTTCTTCATGGTTGGAGTGATAGCTTTACGGATTGTGTAGACGGAATAACCATTAGCCTTAAGAGCTTGGTGTACGTGCTTGAGTTCACTGGCTATGTGTTCCTGGTCGGATATGCATTGGGCTCTATGGTGCAGAGTCTTGATGAGGGAACTCTTCTGGGATGGATGGTGGTGGGAATCCGGTTTCAGGTAAGCATCCATATGGGTATCTTTCCTGTAGACAGAGTGGCTCATTGAACCATCAGGTCTCTTTTTTTATTAGGACATCCATCTTTTTCGACTTCCATGGTAAATGTGATGGCTGGGTGTATGTGGTCTAGAGCAGGCCAGCCATGTGGCCAGATGACAAAAGTGTCATCCACGTACCTCTTCCATAAGGTTGGGCGCAGAGTGGCAGTCTGGATGGCGTCAGTCTCAAATTTCTCCATGAAAATGTTGGCTATAACCGGAGATAGAGGGGAGCCCATTGGGGTGCCCTCAGTTTGTTTGTAGAAAGTTCCATTGGAAGGATTTGATAAACCATTTCGGGTCTTAATTGATTGATCACGCTTAAGGTGGCTTTCAGACCGCATCCATTATTTTTCGTCTCCCCCCTCCTCTTTTCCGAACATAGATGGACTCGTCCATCTGAACAAACTGTCAAATCGCTCTCCGTGGTGCTAACGATAAAAAAACGCCACTTTTTTCAAATTTTCTTACTGTGGTTTTCACACCTGATGCTGATTGCTTGTGTTGCAGTCGAAACGTCGTGAGAATTTTATTGCTTTATATTTTTATTACTTCCCTTCTACATGACTTTACCGAAAGAACCAATAATATGAATCCCTGCAGTCACGAAAGCTTTAAATCAAAATTTAAAAACTATTTGATTAAAGACTATAATGAAATTAATGACTGAGAACTCACGCTATCAAAAGTCTGATAAATATAGAAGCACTAGGAAGGGTTAAAACAACCACCTTCAAACATTTATTGTTTATTGCTGAAAAGGTTATTTCAGATTATGAGTCTTAAGGAACTCCTGCAAAACCAAATTATAATGGGTGTACATTTTTGGCCGAAGAGGCTTGCATTGAAATGTTGTTTTTGGAATGGCGTAAGCAAGCGTGTAAACCACTAAAGCCTTATCGAACTTCAAACTTTATTAAATAAACAAAATAATTGGCTGATTACACAAAGGATCCAAGGGAAAGTTTTTCATGAATGACACTTTACACAAATGCAGTGCTCCTACTTTACTGTCAGGGAGATGCAGCACTGACATTAATGAAGTACAGTCGTGTTTTTGGACGATGTCATGTTTTTTACAGTTTACGTTCATGTTACTCCGTGCATTCAGAGCCAGGCTTTGTGACTTCAATAAAAAGAACACTAATTACATTTGGATACCACTGTGGTTTGTTAGAAAATGCTAAGGTACATCTGGGTCCATGCATATCATTAAAAAAACATCTGACATGTGACATTTTTCATAATAAGCAGACATTTTAAAGCAAATCAAATTTCAAATCCAATACATACAAGTTATATCGAATGCGATTCTGTGGATGCATTTATTTTGCAGAATTCGCATATTGCATTTGTGCCTTTCACGAATAGTAAACGTTAAATACATTCTGAAAGGCAAATTCTGAAACAGTGCATGAGAACACAACTAAAATTGTACAAGGTGCCAAGCAAAAATTGTTTAAAATTTCACAAAATGTTCAACCTTATTTAAGAAAAGGGCCATCTGGAATGGCGAATAAACTACATTTCCTAATTAACGACATTCAGGCTGGTCATCTACTCATATAACACACTAAACATTACCCCGCACAAATAACAGCGAAAGCAGTTTACAACAAATGTGAAAAACTAGGCCACGCTTGTAGGGTCACTCTTGCATACGAAATATACGCCCCGAAATGCACCACTTAAAATGAAACAAGAGCTGTAAAAAATAAATGCCATCTTGTTACAGGTAAAATAAACATTGAAATGGCCAACATGGGCGACTATACTTATCTATGACTTAGAACTTTCGTGACTGCAGGTATTCATATTCTATTAACATAAGGCAGAGTTAAAACATAGTAGGACCAATACTTCTGCCATGGCTGATCATTATTTTAATGCAGCTGGCTCACACGAAATGGATTTCTCTAAGACGATGGTACTTTGCAAGCATACTGGCTATCAACAAAGATTCGTTCATGAAGCCATCCATATATACAGACACAGAAACAATTTCAACCGAGAGGATGGTTATAAAATCATTGGAAAGATGTCATCGACCACTTTGGGTCGTGACTTGATTTGTGTTTTCTTGTCAACCTCCAGCAGTGTGGGTGTGTGGAGGAGGCGCAATGATTTGATTGGTGTAGACCTACTAAGTGTGTCGGAGCTTTCGCCTATATTAATATTAGCTGCCCCGCCCATCTCTAAACCTTTATAAACAGCTTGCCCTCAAAGGCTATCCTGTTCCTGATGACGACCGCTTGTGTTGCGATCGAACGTCGTGATATTTTGATTCACTTTAATTTTATTATTGTATTGTTATTTTTTTTCTATCTACGTGACTTTACCGAAAGAACCATAGAATATACTTATCTAATGTATTTAGCGTGCTCCATCACCGTGGTATATTTTAAGCTCTCGTGTACAGACACCCCCTGATTGCATTCCTGTTGCTGTACACAATTCTCTCCACGGTTGTAAAGATGACCTCTTGTTAAAGGTGTCGTAACGTCAATATCTGCATGTTGGCATATCTGCTACAAAAAGTAAAGAAATTAAACTAAAAATGTTATAAGTTTTTCTTAAATTGAAAACTTAATTTATTTAGAACTGCTCTTTGTGTTTAGTTTGTTGTCGGTCAACACGATTCGCTACGCGCGGTGCAAAGGTCCAATGTACAAAAATCACGATGATTTGAGAAATGGAGAATGATTAATCAAAAGCATCCCAAACCTCGTTACTCCATGGACACTCAAGGCCTGCAAAGTCTCCCCAGATGTCATGTATGTTGAACTTGTTTCGCACCGTACGTAGCCAACCGTGCTAATGGGAGATTAGACTAGACCAAGCAGTGATTGGTGCAAATGAAAACAGCGAATGACAAGAGACAGGTAATAAGTGCGTCTATGGGAGCCACGCCCTTACCAGACACCACCATTGCCTCATTGGGACCGCACGTGTAGAAACCCATTGTTCAGAGGCCGACTCACTCCCACGTGAAGGACAAGCGCAACCACAAAAATCTGGAAATATATGGACACACGGAAGAATACGCAACAGCTGTTACATAACGTAAATACCTTGCCGATCCACTGTGGAAAGGCCCTCTTGAACGCTGCTTAAATGCTGGTTGGTGAAGGCGCGAGAGCACAGTAAACCAGTATAACCATGGATTTTAAAGCACAGACTTATGCTGCCCACAGCGTTGCCCCGAGACACACAGCCTGCAATAAACGATTCTATAGGAAGTGTGGTCGCCCATCCAAGGACTACCCAGTTAACATTAAAAACGTTGGAGTAACGTTGGTTGGCATGTGGTTGAACGCGTTGGTGCAACGATTCCTCGTTTACTGGGTATCCAGGCGTAAATTAGCTTAGCTTTCGGGACCTTAGGATTTACTTGACAAAAAAAATCAACACAATTTGTCAATATCACTGCATGAAAAGTAAAATATTAAAACAGCCGACGTTTTGAGCAACGACCCTTCAAAGTACACACACATTATTCAGAGGATGTTACATAATAACAGTGTTTTTATACGGATACGTTTGTTTTGAAACGTCACAATTCACTTAACCCTGTTGGCTATGTTATCACGAACTTATTAACCAAACGTGCTATAGACATCATCAGCCATGGTCAATCCACTGCTGGATGAAGGCCTTCACGAGCCGCCGCCGACTCAAATGACCATGCGATGCATAATAATCCACCTCAGCTTCTGCAAATGTAATGGGTTTTTTTTTACGTGATCGCTCCATCTCTTCGGTAATATCCTTTCCTAAATGTACTTTTGTTTAATTTTCCAAATGCCAGGCGAAAAAAAATAAAACCCCTCGTACGCCGCAACACGCACGGCGACATATTTGCCTCAAAATGTACGACCTCTTGCAAACCGCAAACAGGGTCATTTCAGCAAATATAATGCAAAGCAAGTGGCGTTGCTAAACTGATGCTGCGCTTTCAGCAAAATTACTGAAAATTATCGCGAATTATTTGCGAAAAAACCGCGGACTTACCGTGCCCGCTCGCAAACAAACAGAAAAAAACGATTCGGATTGCGTAGAGCGCACTGGGAGCTGCCTTATTGTTCCTGATCCTATTGGCTCATCGCGCACACGTGGGTGAGAGTTGGGCCAATCAGCGCCCGGGCACGAGCGCGGCGCTTAAGCGGTTTAGGAAATTTGATTACCGGGGTGTGTCCGCCGTGACGTCACGTGACCTCCAATGCGCATGCGCGGGGCACTTTCTATTATCTGCGACCCTTCCTATTATCTGCGACCCTTCCTATTATCCGCGACCCTTCCTATTATCCGCGACCCTTCCTATTATCCGCGACCCTTCCTATTATCCGCGGTCCTGCGCCAATTCGTAAAATTCTTGCTACTGCAGTATTTCGCATCACTCCCCGCCATACGCCGCGAAACACGTGAGCGATCAGTTGTGTGCAACCAAGTTGAATCGCTAATGTGGACATCTGCGCAACCGTTTTGCTCACAGTATAGAGAGCGACTACTTTCAAGCAAAAACAATCATTCGCGTCGTATATGGAGAACGTCGCGAACTGATGTCTGTCCCTCTTTAAGTGTATTTTACACATTTCATCAGCTACGCGGCCTTTCTGGGATTCCAACAGCTGCTATAACATGATGAGCCACTTCATTGCGCTATCATTTGTGGCCAGGTTGCTTGTGAAAAATAAGCTTTAGCGGGCTGCACCTGGTAAAATCAAAGAAATAGTTTAGTTCTGTGTACTTTTAAGTTATTTGTTTACCTTTCCTATATTTTGCACTCCAATTGTGTTTTTCTACTGTTTTTTGTAGTAACGTTCTGACCCGTCCCGACTAGACATGTAAAACAAGAGCTTTATAGCGCATCTGATTCCTCCAGTACAGTAAAAAATAAACAGGGTGACTTCTAAGGAAATTCTGGACATGGCTTGATAAAAGCTGGTTGTAATCACCAGCGAAAAGTCGTTCTCGAATTGTAAATGTTGTGGGGTTTTACTCTCCAACACACTGGTGTGCTGAACTAGTAACGAATTGGCACGTTTTGTTTACGTGACAAACCCTTGAGCTATCATTACTCATTGGCTGTCGGGTGGTGGCGGGTTTAACGACACATTTTTTTATACGCGTTTTAAACCCAAACCTTTTAGTGTGGTGCGGATAATATTGGACGCGAAAGCCTGCTGCAGTGTTAAAGTAATAAATATTCTGATTTAGCAAACAGCAGAGACACACACACACACGGCCGACATGACGTCACCATCATCGCTGCCGTCAGCTGGCAACACGATGAGCGCGGCCGTGACGTCAGTATGCTGACAGCTACACGCCCCGTAGGAAGATGGCCGTCGTGACGTCACTTTCACGCACCACCGCCGATAAAGCAGCGTTCGCCCCCTATCCTCACCACCAGCCACACACCCTGTAGTAAGATGGCCGCCGCGACGTCACTATCACCCATCGCCACAGCCGATAAAGCGGCGTTCGCCCCCTATCCTCACCACCACCCAAACACCCCGTAGCAAGATGGCCGCCGCGGTGCCGCGCGCGCGCCCTCAGAGCGAACAACTACCCCCCCCCAGCCCACATCGTCTCAACAGTGGGACGCTCGGGCTAGACGACGACGAGAAGGTGGTGGAGTGATGTGACAAGAAGCCTCCCCGCCCCCTCCCCAAAAAAATCTCTCGCTCCGTCACCATAGCGGCGGGCTCTCAGTCGCGTACGGTATCCCACCCCCCCCACCCCCCCCACCACCACCAACCAAACACCGGTCACCATCGTCGACAGCTTTGGCGGCGGCGGCGGTTGCCGTTAGCTGCTGCTGCTAAATGGCGGCGTGGAGCGGCGACGCGCGCGAGTCTGAGGGCGACCGTCAAGAGCGCGAGCACTTCTGGCGCGTGGTGAACGCCTTCCGCTACTACCGCGCCTACGCCCTCGAGCGCGTGCGCCGCGCCGAGCGCGAACTCCGCGCGCTGCCGCCCGCGCATCGCCGCCTCCTGCGCGACGCCGCGCTGCCCGGCCACCTGCAGTGCGTGCGGGCGCGCGTCGAGCACAACCAGGTGCGGTTGGGGGCGTGGGGGGGGTCGTGTTGGTGGTGGCGGTGGTGGCGGTGGGCACGACCCTTGTAACACAAACGCGGGCGCTGCTACACGCCTCGGTCTCGCCTGTCTCTGTGGCCTATGTCCACTAGCCTGCTTGACTTTTGCATGTGCTGGTGTGGCCTAATCTCCACTTGCCTGCCTGCTTCACGTGTTTCTATGTCCTATCTCCACTTGCCTGTCTGCTTCACGTGTCTCTATGGCCTATCTCCACTTGTCTGCCTGCTTCACGTGTCTCTATGGCCTATCTCCACTTGCCTGCCTGCTTCACGTGTCTCTATGGCCTAATCTCCACTTGTCTGCCTGCTTCACGTGTATCTATGGCCTGTCTCCACTTGCCTGCCTGCTTCACGTGTTTCTATGGCCTAATCTCCACTTGTCTGCCTGCTTCACGTGTCTCTATGGCCTAATCTCCACTTGTCTGCCTGCTTCACGTGTCTCTATGGCCTATCTCCACTTGCCTGCCTGCTTCACGTGTCTCTATAGCCTGTCTCCACTTGCCTGCCTGCTTCACGTGTCTCTATGGCCTATCTCCACTTGCCTGTCTGCTTCACGTGTTTCTATGGCCTATCTCCACTTGCCTGCCTGCTTCACGTGTCTCTATGGCCTATCTCCACTTGTCTGCCTGCTTCACGTGTTTCTATGGCCTATCTCCACTTGCCTGCCTGCTTCACGTGTCTCTATGGCCTATCTCCACTTGCCTGTCTGCTTCACGTGTTTCTATGGCCTATCTCCACTTGTCTGCCTGCTTCACGTGTCTCTATGGCCTATCTCCACTTGCCTGCCTGCTTCACGTGTCTCTATGGCCTAATCTCCACTTGTCTGCCTGCTTCACGTGTCTCTATGGCCTATCTCCACTTGCCTGCCTGCTTTACGTGTCTCTATGGCCTATCTCCACTTGTCTGCCTGCTTCACGTGTCTCTATGGCCTATCTCCACTTGCCTGCCTGCTTCACGTGTCTCTATGTCCTATCTCCACTTGTCTGCCTGCTTCACGTGTCTCTATGGCCTAATCTCCACTTGTCTGCCAGCTTCACGTGTCTCTATGGGCTATCTCCACTTGCCTGCCTGCTTCACGTGTCTCTATTGCCTAATCTTCACTTGTCTGCCTGCTTCACGTGTCTCTATGGCCTGTCTCCACTTGTCTGCCTGCCTGCCTCACTTGTCTGTATGACCTCTCAGCGCTTGCCTGCCTTACCTGTCTGTATGACCTAACACCACGTTGCTTTTCTGATATGTACAGGGTGTTTAAAAATCAAGGACCCGATTTGAAATCGCTATATCTCTGCAACCACGAACCGCCCATGAATGAAACTCTTACCACTTGAAAGGGCGGGGCATAGAGTTTCAAATGACGGAGCACCGCCGCATTGGCACCTGCAGGTTGGACGTTTTCTAAATGACACACTGCCTCCAATACTTGGTGCTACACTCTTGGCTCCCAAGATCCCCAGACATCACACCCGTGTTTTTGTGCGACCATTAGCGGCTTATCTGGATGACTTCAAAAACAGAATCACGGCAGCAGTGATTTCAGTGGAAGAAGCCACTTTGAGAGGCGTTTGGGACGAATTTAACTATTGTCTCGATGTTGTCCATACAGCAGGTGGAGGGCACATAAAGAATTTATAAAATGGTTAGTAAAACTTTATAACTCATGAAACCGTTTGTAACTTTTTGTGTAATTGTAACATGTTGCCATCGTGAAATTAGACTGCTGTGAAATTGGGTCCATGTTTTTAAAACACCCTCTAAATAAGGCCCTTCAACATGTGCTTGTCAAACGTGGCTCTGATCCCTCTACACATGTCTGCTTTCTTCAGTTGTGTACTGCATATAACCTCTCAACACATGCCTGCCTGACTTGTATACAAGGGCCTTTCGCAATCGCCTGCCTGAATTGTTTACATGGCTTCTAAGCACTTTACAACCTTCCCAGTCTACGTAACATGTCTACTTATCCGACTTTCCATTTGACGTGTGTACATGACCTGCCAACGCTTGCATGTATGACGTGTGTACTCGTCTAAAACACTCCCCTTTTTTATAACAAAAAATATCCTATGCAAGCAATATTGAAATATTACTGGACTGGAGTATGGGTAATGCAACTTTACAGGAGAGTATATGAAGGTAGTAGTTATAGACTATAATATAATTAAGAGTTGGAGACTGGCAATGTAAATTAGCTACGAATACTGAGGGAGACAAATGAAAGTTCTCTCCCGAGTGCTACATATCCATGTCTAGCAAATACTAATATAAGAATGTACACATTGGCCAAGTTCATTAGCTCTCTGTGTCGGTCAATGTAATGAAACGGTACGCTGATGAACCTGATCAATGTGTTCCAACATCAGAGAGCTGATGGAACACGTTGGTGAGGTTCATTTTCTCTCCACTTCATGCATTGATCATCACTCCCTGACCCTGTTTATTAGACGCTTCATCAAGTTGTTTTTTTTAACACTGAATGCCCGAAACTCAAACCAGGAGCTGTTGCACGACATCATCCTGGGCACGGCCGAGCACATGTTCGAAAACAAGCGCTACCGTCCGCTGGCCCTAGAGGCTGAACCCACCCCGGCCACAGCGTTCGACATGGACAAGCTGAAGTCGACGCTCAAACAGCTGGTGCGAGACTGGAGCTCCGAAGGGCAGGGCGAGCGCGACTCGTGCTACCGGCCCATCCTCAATGCCATACAGACGTACCTCGGAGCTGCTAGCGGTCACAGTGGCAGCAGCATCAAGAGCAATGGTAACAGCTGTTGCGATGGCCACAGCAGTAATGGCAGCAATAACAGTGATGGATGCCATCAAAACCATCGCCACCAACAGCAGCAGGAGAATGAGCAGCAGCAGCTGAATGAGCAGCAGCAGCTGAATGAGCAGCAGCAGCTGAATGAGCAGCAGCAGCAGAATGAGCAGCAGCAGAATAATCACAAGCAACAGCAGCAGCAGAGAAGCCCCCGAGTGTTGGTGCCCGGCTCGGGCCTCGGTCGCCTCGCATGGGAAATCGCGCGCCTTGGCTACAGCTGCCAGGGCAACGAGTTCAGCCTCTTCATGCTGTTCACATCGCACTACATCCTGAACCGCTGCCACGAGGTGGACAGCGTGCGCCTCTACCCGTGGGTGCTGCAGTTCAGCAACACGCGCCGCGCGTGGGACCGCGTGCGGCCCGTGCTCGTGCCGGACGTGGACCCCAGCGCGCTGCCGCCGGGCGCCGACTTTTCCATGTCGGCAGGCGACTTCCTGGAGGTGTACTCGCTGGACATGGACGTGTGGGACTGCGTGGCCACGTGCTTCTTCCTCGACACGGCGCACAACGTCATCGCCTACATTGAGCTCATCTGGAAGGTGCTCAAGCCGGGTGGCGTGTGGATCAACATGGGGCCGCTGCTCTACCACTTTGAAAACATGGTTGGTGAGAGCTCGCTAGAGCTGAGCTACGACCAGATCCGCCAAGTGATCGTGCAGGTGGGCTTCGTGTTCGAGGAGGAGAACGAGTGCGTGCACGCGACGTACACGGAGAACGAGCGCTCCATGCTGCGCTACATCTACGACTGCGTTTTCTTCGTTGTGCGCAAGCCGGCGCTCAAGAGTGAATGCTCATGACAGCTGGCAGGCGCGGGCCCAGCACAATCGGGGAAAAACGAACCGGAATTAAATTTAGCGTCCCTCCGCCGTTGAGGCACGTGCGTGAGCTGGCTTTTTATTGTCATTATTTTGTCGTGATATTTACTATTGTTTTATGCCATTTGTGCTTTTGGAGACACGTGGAGTGAAAGCACGCCCGTTGTGGAACACCTTCCCACTTCGCGTCGGGGAAGAGTACCGTGAAACTACTGCTGGAGTCAATTAAGCCTCTGTCACCCGGTGCCGATTAAAAAATAGTTCAACGCATGCCCGGTCATCCTTTGTTACTGTTTTGTGCCCGGTCATCCTTTGTTACTGTTTTGTGCTTGGGCCTGGGCTTTGGCAAGTAAAACCAATTCTGTACGATGTGTTGTTTTAGTCATTGGTGACCAGGTTGAGCCAATAAACTTGCCACACTTGAGAACCTGGTTTAGTTGTGATTGGCTGCCTATGATTTGAACCCAGAATGCCATTGGTGCCAGCTCGTTGCTATTGACATAAGACCCACGAGCCAGCTTAGCCACCTCAGGTCTTATATTAATGTAAAATCACAGTGTGATGGATTTTATTTTTAAACAGCTAAAGCCATTTCAAAGTAAATTTGGTACTATATCCATTGTCTTCATGATAATCATGGTGAGATTGGTTAGTGGTACAGCCATCAGAGGTAGATACCACATCCTTTATTCATGTCTACCAACTGTTAATCTTCTGTAATGTTTTATGAAGGACTTTATAAAACACCTTTAAAAAAATGTATCATGATTGTGACTACTTAAATTTCTGCATGCCACTATTATCTCCCATTACTGTTGGGTTTTTTGCTTGATGTACATACATCTCTTGAAATCCTTTTTGCCGTCAATCATAAGACATGACCAATTGAATGGATTTTGTTCATGCTGAATTATTGCACTAAGTTGTATTGTGCATGTGCTGTGGTGTCATGAGTTGTTCAATGCTGTATACTTGCCTTCTTCACAGAGGCATATGGCAGCAGTGGACATTGATGGCTGTACTGCACTGATGAGTACAATTCAGGACATAATCGGTGTATCGTAGTCTCGTTTCACTGCTGCCAGTTGGGATGATCACGTTCCAACTATGTTTGAGTTGGCAGCCCAAACACTACGGCCGCACATTCATCTCTCGAGGTGGTGGTCTGGACAAGGCTGAGTGTTGTACATGCAATGTGATGGTCACGTGACATGCATGCAAGGCATGATGGGAAGAGTACCTTTCTGCTGCTTGTGAATCCACATTGGTGTATTATTAAATCTATACACTGCCATTAAATTCGGATTTAAATTGTCTTCGTTGCAGCACATTGTATGCATGCACAATGAAAACCTAAATATGACTTGGCATAGTGCGGGTGATTTTTTTCTGTCAAGGTAATTTTACTTGTATCTAAATATTTTGTATTTCATATTCAGTTTTGCATTACTTTAATTCAGTCGGGTGGCGATGGCGCATGCCTGCAATCCAGCACTGCGGAGGCGAGGGTTGGTGAATCTTACAAATGTTGTGAAACTCCCTATGTGTGTCGAGGTGCCATCTACCCTGACTCGCCAGAAGAATTTGGTGTACAGAATGTGGAATAAGCTCCATCTGTCCCATCTGGGATGGTGGTGCACCCTCGAATATGTTTTGTTTTTTCCCCCCACGTGTAAAAACACGAATTGACTAAAAACATCTTCATATATGCGCCTTGGTGTTTGCGGATTGCATAGCATTGTGTAATACAGGTGGATAAAATATGCTATATAAAAACTAGTAATACAAGAAAAAAGTGAAATTTTCACCCAATGTTTTTTTTAAGATAAAAAATAATTTGCGTACAAAGAAGGCACAACATTGTGTTGAACGCATATACAGGTACGGTAATTAGGCAATTGGTTGAGGATGCGTTTTAAGGAATGTAACGCAGTCCAAGAAGATAACCATGGAGGATGGAGAGATGAAGCTGGTTCATGTCAAAGTGCTATGTGGATTTTCACATAACAGGATCATGAGAAGTGGTCACGACTTGAAGGACTTCATCCAACAGTGGATTGAACATAGCTGGTGGTGATTGGTACATTTTAATGGTAGGAATTAGAAAAATGATGGCCCTAGAATGTGTCAAAGTAGGTGCTATCTAACAATTCCCAGAAAGCTATTATTTAAAGGAATCTTCCTGGTTACAGGCAGCGTATTTTGGTCAGGTTCAGTTTAAATCCTTGCCATATACTAAACTAGCTTTACTACCTGGCTTCGCCCGAGACTTGGATTCTTGTCTTGGATTAAGACATGGCCTCCGCTGAGGGTGGGGCGGGGATGCGTGACGTAGCAGGCTCATTGCGTAACGCTGCCACATGTGGATGACATCACAGATGTGACGTCACCAATCACTTGCCGTGCAAACTATCCATTATTGCGCCCCCTCCCCCCCCCCCCCCCCAAAATACAAAAGTCTATTTTTTTTAAATACTTTTTGCATTATGTACAATTTGGTAACTACCCACATGCCAAATTTCAAGTTTGTTGCATGTCGGGAAGTATGCTAAACATTTAGAACACACATTCACAAATTTCCCTTTTTTATATATAGATGTAATTAGTTTGGGACCTTTTGATTTAAAGCTTCCGTGACTGCAAGGATTCATCTTTGGTTCTTTCGGTAAAGTCACGTAGAATGAGAATAAAATAATAAATTGATAAAATAACACAATAATATTCTCACGACGTTTCGGCCCCAACACAAGTGGCCTTCATCAGGTGAAGGGACGAGACTGTCTGGAGGACAGCACTGGAGTGAAAAAGCCACGCTCAGATCGCGCCCTTTAAGCTGTGTGAGAAGAAACAAAGCACCTTGACAAAGGAATTAGCATAGAATTTAGCATTGAAATGGCTGAGTGATTAGCTTGTGACTGGTCACAGAAATGGCTATGTTAAAGTTAAAGCATACACATCCGCAGAGGCACCCCTTGACTAAGGAATTAGCATAGAATTTTGCATTGAAATAGCTGAGTGATTAGCTTGTAACTGGTCACAGAAATAGCTATGTTTAAAGTCAGAGCATACACATTCACAGAGGCACCTAGTACAAATCAAACAGGAGAATTTAGCATTGAAATAACTGAGTGATTAGCTTGTGACTGGTCACAAATGGCTATGTTGAAGTCAAGGCCTACACATCTGAGCTATTCACAGTAACTGGGTATACACTACAATATATAATGAATACTATATAGTGAACCAATAAAAAACTAAAATATAAATTACCTCAATGTTATCAATAAACTCTATATATTCTCCAATCAGCTAAGCTACCAACAATAAGTCGTTATATATTAGCAACACGGATAGCTACGGGCCCCGTTCAGACGGACGAGTTCATCCATGGTCGGAACAGAGGAGGGGGAGAGAGACAGCTGCGAGGCGCTGTTATACTCCATGTTGTAAACCATACTATTAACCGTGGTGTGAGAGGTATTAAGAGCCAATGTCAGCGAAAGAGCTGCGGTCTGAAGGTCATCGTAAAATACAATTAATTAAGAACGGAAATGGTTTAAAACATCTTTCCAATGGTTACTAAGCTTAGCAGGCCCGTAGCTATCCGTGTTGCTAAAGTTGAGGGTAAGAATCCACCCATTTTTTCGCCATATAGCATTGTGATATATAACGACTTATTGTTGGTAGCTTAGCTGATTGGAGAATATATAGAGTTTATTGATAACATTGAGGTAATTTATATTTGAGTTTTTTATTGGTTCACTATATAGTATTCATTATATATTGTAGTGTATACCCAGTTACTGTGAATAGCTCAGATGTGTAGGCCTTGACTTCAACATAGCCATTTCTGTGACCAGTCACAAGCTAATCACTCAGTTATTTCAATGCTAAATTCGCCTAGTTATTTCAATGCTAAATTCTCCTGTTTGATTTGTACTAGGTGCCTCTGTGAATGTGTATGCTCTGATTTTAACATAGCTATTTCTGTGACCAGTTACAAGCTAATCACTCAGCTATTTCAATGCTAAATTCTATGCTAATTCCTTTGTCAAGGGGTGCCTCTGCGGATGTGTATGCTTTAACTTTAACATAGCCATTTCTGTGACCAGTCACAAGCTAATCACTCAGCCATTTCAATGCTAAATTCGGTGCTAATTCCTTTGTCAAGGCGCTTTGTTTCTTCTCACACAGCTTAAAGGTCGCGATCTGAGCGTGGCTTTTTCACTCCAGCGCTGTCCTCCAGACAGTCTCGTCCCTTCACCTGATGAAGGCCGCTTGTGTTGTGGCCGAAACGTCGTGAGAATATTGTGTTATTTTATCAATTTATTATTTTATTCTCATTCTACGTGACTTTACCGAAAGAACCAAAGAAGATAGTTTGGGACCGTCCTGCTTTTACAACCAATCGCTTTTTTATGCTGATATGGCCACAAGGGGTCATGAGTAAGCATTTTAAATTAATGTTCAGCTAAAAGCCCTTGTTAAGCGGCACTTCTATTGCATATTGTAATCCAATGACGACCACTCATTGTGGGGAAGAAAGGCATATGGAGTCTAATTTATGTATAGTCAGAAGGCCTTCCCATTGATATATACGGCAGAAAATGACCATGTTTTTTTCCACGATTCGGGCAGCCATATGTTGAAAAGTGCTTTCCTCTCATTAAGTGAAATAGATACATGGAATTTGTATGCAGAAAGTCCAGCCGGTGTTTGATGATTAAACCACAAACAGTTATAGCATCAGGAACCTTTGTACCTGTGTAATTGTTTTTAATAGTATGATGTGGTATGCACAAGCATCGTGTCGCGAATCGCAAACAGGTCCGAGGCATTTGTACATGCGTATGTAAACCAATCTAGAATCGGTCTATTAATCAATTAAATAGTTTTATACAAATTTTACTTAACTTTCGTGGCTGCAGGAATTAATATTCTTTGGTTATTTCGGTAAAGTCACGTAGAAAACAAAGTACATACAAATAACGAAAAAAACCACTGGTGTAGACTGTAGCCTGGTTCTTAATCGGAGTGAGTGTACTGGCAGTCTATAATGTAGACCGTAGCCTGTTTTTTTTAAGCTGATGAGCGTATTGGCAGTCTGATGTAGACTGTAGTAATGTGTTTTTATTACTGAAAGAACCAGAATAAGTACATTATAGACTGCCAGTACACTCAGTTTAATCAAATTTGCTACAGTCTACATCATAGCCTGCCATAGGCCTCGGCAAGGTAAGGTAAAAGGTAAAAACAACGAGCCTACCTTTAACGAGCCTACCTTTACCCTACCATTTCCCTTACCCCATACAAATTACCTGATTACAGGGTAATTACTGGGGTACTACACATGAACAAGGTTTATAACGGTAAACGCTAGGTAGAGTGCTTTATTCACATAGAATACTCTCGATTATTCCAATTTTACACGCTTTCTTTAAACTCACTCTGTTATTGTATCCTCAAATCTTGTAACTCAATTTTAACCCACTTCCCTATGTGGTTTCGACTGCGAACTTGGTATATTTATGTCATACTGATGACAATACTATATTCTATCATTAAAAATAAAATAAAAGTATTTTTAAACATTTTTTTTATATTATGTTTCGGCTTGGGTCTAATTGTCCACTGTCAACTGACGTTGGCTGTAATTGCCCACGGTCTGGCAAGCTCGGGTCCACTTCCTGGAGTCGTGGAGTTCTGCCATTACTCGTAGATTTCATAACAGCGTGTTTTTTAAAAAGTTGTGTTTAAAAT